GGAGAATTGTTGAGTCGTCTTCCTGGATAAAAAATGAATAATTAATCAAAAGATATCTGAGAAAATTGCTCTTGTGAGAATAAAGGTGATCGATTTCTGTCTATATGATTAAGGGTTTTACTCCTTTCACCGTCTTCTCCCTTTCGGTCATATTCTGCCCCAAAGATGTCTCTTCTAATCTCAAACTCTCTGAGGTCTTTTTCATGGTGTATTTTTAGACTTCAACTTTGAAAAGCATGTTTTTGTTTTTCAGCTGCTTGATAACTTTCCTATGAAGTTTTATCACATTTAATGGAAAGAAAATGAGAAAATACTTCAGTTTCCAGAAGAAGGCTTTGTGACATCATGGCTATAAAACCTGCTCTGAAAATGTTCCAGAAATCTGTGTGTTGACAAGAAAAGTGTTATTGGATAAACAGTTGGTCCACAGCTCCTGCAGCATTTTGTCTGAACACAATAGAAATATAATCTGTAAAACTCCATGCTCACCAAAACAGAAAGAGGTTCACAGCCTCAGAGAAACCGGGAGGCCGCACCTAACATAAATTCCTAACATAAATTCCTCCTACACTCCTCCCACAGTCAGATAGAGATGCAGCCAACAACCAGGTACAGGTAATTCATTTATCTGAGCGCCTCCCCTTATGCAGGAAATAAACTAAAAGGTTCACAATCTCTTTCCTTGAAGCAGAAAGTACTCGACAGAAGTGCGATCCAAAGACGGAAAAGGCGAACCGTAAGTCCATACGAGCATATTTTCACGGTTTACTCTTTTTGTTTTTTTAATCAAAGTTAGTGAAAATGGCTGAGAAAGATAAACTTTTAGAGAATTATCTGAGCTGCTATCTGTGTTCAGAGACTTTCAGAGATCCAGTGTCTCTGAGCTGCAGCCACAGCTTCTGTTCAAGCTGCCTGCAGAAGTTCTGGGAACAAACTAAGAACAAGAACTGTCCTATTTGTAAAAGAAGATCCTCAAATGACTGTCCAAAAGTGAACTTTTCACTAAAGGAACTGGCTGACTCTTTAGCTGGAAGAAATAAATCACCTGAGGGTGAAAACAGAGAAAAGAGGGAAAACGTGTCCACGGTGGTTTGTGACAAACACCCTGAGGTTCCTTATTGGTTCTGTGAGGACGAGCA